TTAATAGCAACAAGTCCAAAATATTGTTTTTTTTTTTCTCAAAATTGTCCTTTTTTTTTTCATAGAGCAGAAAATAAAAAAATCACAGACGATCAGATAGCACTGAAAGAAAGCTCTATTCTTTGAGGGAAAAAAAGGATGTTCAATTCATTTTGGTGCAGCGTACAATTGTCCATTAAAGTGCCGTAACACAAAAAATGGCCTGGTCAGGAAGGGGGGTAAATCCTCTGGAGGGCAAGTGCTTAAACATTTCCTCTAAGACAATCACCAAAGTGTTGTTCCACATTGTTACCTGTACCACAGTACTAAAAAAGATTCTAAAAGAGATTCTAACTAACCAAGGGACTCCCTTTATGTCGAAAGTAATGAAGGAGTTGTGCAAATTGTTCAATATTGAGACCTTACCACCCTCAGACAGATGGTTTAGTTGAATGGTTTAACAAAATCTGGTGGTGGATAAAGATGGGAGAGACTGATTTCTATTGCCATAACAGTGTGCAGTTAGAGTGATCCCACAGGTTCTCACCATGGGGTTCTCACCCATTGAACTCTTGTGTGGGAGGAGTCCCAGAGAGTTACTAGATATTGCCAAAGAGACCTGGGAGACTGAGACTACTCCCTACCGGAGTGTCAAATCTCAGCCATGCACACCTAGGAAGCGCAGAGTCAAGCCCTGGGTGACGATAGGCAAAGGTTTGAACTTTCCACCAAGAGGATTGTGTACTCATTTTAGTCCCCACAGTGGAAAGTAAGTTCCTTGGCAAGAACCCTATGAAATACTGGAAAGGGATGCGGAAGTAAACTATAAGCTGTACCAATCAGACAGGCGGAAGAAAGAGCAGATCTATCATATAAACTTCATTAAAGCATGCTAAGAGAGGGAAGCTCTACTAGCCCTGGGTGACAAACCCCTGAAGAAAGAGGAAGTCATAAGCAAGATTTAGATACTCGAGTCCACGTCTGTATCACAAGAGCAGGAGATGAGAGAGTTCTACAACGAAATACAGATTTCTTCTCAGAGTTACCAGGCTGCACAAATGTGTAATTATAAATGACATTGCCACTGACTCAAAGGTTCAGGTGCTGCTTAAGCCATATCATATGCCAAAGGCCTGCAGATAGGCAGTAGCTTAAGAAGTAGGCAAAAATGAATGGGTGTAGTCCTATAGTCTTAGTTCCCTAGCCACATGGGTCCTTAAGATTTTGTAATGTTTTGGAAACTGAATGAAGTTTCAAAGTTTGGCACCTATGCCATGCCCCGGGTTGCTGAACTAATTGAGAAGTTGGGTCCCACCAGGTACATAACCACCTTTGATCTCACTAGAGGGTATTGACAGTTTCCCCTGACAGATGAAGCAAAAGAAAAGACAGCTTTTGCCACCCCAGAGGGCTTTGTGGCCCAGATACCCTTTGGACTAAATGAGGCTCCTTCTACACATCAATGCTATTTTTCTTCAGCCTCAGGATTCCACTTAATCACTACAGCAGAAAAAGATAACTTCACTAGATAATATAGTAGCCATTGGAGACTCGGACATATGTAGAAAATGGTATCTCACAGTAACAAAACTTATTGGATATAGTTCATGCGGAGTGATGTGACTGTGGAGACACAGTGAGCAATGATTAACATTCGTGACTGCTGTGGCTGGAAACGATGAGCATATTATGCACCGACCAGATAGTATCACACAGTAACGTAAACTTGTAGGATATAGTTCATGCAAAGTAATGTGACTGTGGTGACACAATGAACAGCGGATAACTTTCGTGACTGCTGTGGCTGGAAACAATGAGCATACTATGCACTAACCAGATAGCACAGATAGATGTGCGTTGGAGTATATAAGACCTACTCCTTGGTACTCTGGGGGTGGGAACTCAGCATGCGGATGTGATCATCAGGTGGGGGGTGCTTCACCAGCTGTCATCTATCAAGAGCAGGTTTCCACATCTCAGATAACTGTCCAGCAGTACAATTTCCAGCCATCAGGGGGATCATGCATTCAGATAGGAACCAAAAAAGGATCATCTGAGGTAGTTTGTAGGTCATGTGGTTAGTATTCCATGAGAAAGGGTATCTCCCTAATGCGTTTTGTGTAATAATAACACATTTTCAAAGGGAGAGAACCCTGTCCCAAATGTTTTCTTAAATATATTTCTCATGGAATACTGTCAGGAAATGGACTTACCAGTAATGGTGGGCTCACCTGCCTTGTGGGCTGCAGTACCAGGGCTGGCCAGCGGGTGCTCTCAGCAATCAGAGACTCAACCCTGCAGCCAGCCAAACACCTGAAGCTGATTATGCAGCTGTATTTAAGGGATGGCCAGACCTGCAGTCTGTGCCTTGGTGTGTGTTTTTCCATGGGCCCCTGTATCTTGTAACCTGCGTTCCTGCTCCTGCTCCTGCCTCTGCCTCTGCCTGACTTGTTGCCGACGCAATCTGATCCTGACCTCTGCTGACTTCTCCTGTTTTGATCCCTGGCTTGTGACCCTGACCATTCTCTCCGCCTGCTCCTCCTGTACCTACCTGCCCGATAGTTATCGACCTGGCCTGCCTGATTACGTTTGTGCTCTATATGTGTATGTAGCGCTAGAGTGAATGGATCTATCTCATGATACGGAGTGACCACTTAATGAGATATAAACGCAGCTACCATAATAGTCTTAAGCAACCAATATTATAACATTCTCATAGTTAAGAAGGTGTAAATGGTGATAAAGGTGTCAAAGTCAATCTATCATAGGAGTGACGTAAATCTGTGACATCTGTGGTAGGAAATGTGGCTGTAGAATGCACTAACCAGATAGCGCAAATAAAAGCGCATTGGAGTAAAATGACCTACTCCTGGTCAATGGATCAGGGGACCTGCCGGAATGGTGGTCGTCTCTACTGTGGTCACCAGAGTCATCCGTGTCCTCTCCAGTTATGGAATTCCCAGGTATCCAGTGGAATAAACGCTCATCCGGTATGCAGTAGAATCCTTGTGTCAGCGACCTCCAGGGGTGCGATGTCCGCTCAAGGACCAGGAATCACCTTCAGGGCTCAGAAATAAACCCAAAAAGAGGCTTCCGATTGTGATAACTTTTTTTATGGAGTAGTAGAGTAGTAACAAAAAACGAACTTACATGGTGCAATATACACTTCCAAAGATGGCCGCCCGTGTCAAGGTGTGGACCATGTGGGTAGTGGTTGTGGGTCAAGTAGCATCTCTCTAACGCGTTTCGTGGCAACTGCACGTTATCAAAATCCTTTTGATAACGTGCAGTTTGCCACGAAACGCGTTAGGGGGAATGCTACTTGACCCACAACCACTACCCACATGGTCCACACCTTGACACGGGCGGCCATCTTTGGAAGTGTATATTGCACCATGTAAGTTAGTTTTTTGTCTACTACTCCATAATAAAAGTTATCACACTATCGGAAGCCTCTTTTTGGGTTTATTTCTGAGCCCTGAAGGTGATTTCCTGGTCCTTGAGCGGACATCGCACCCCTGGAGGTCGCTGACACAAGGATTCTACTGCATACCGGATGAGCGTTTATTCCACTGGATACGGAATTCCATAACTGGAGAGAGGACACGGATGACTCTGGTGACCACAGTTAGAGACGACACCACCATTCCGGCAGGTCCCCTGATCCATTGACCAGGAGTAGGTCATTTTACTCCAATGCACTTTTATTTGCGCTCTATCTGGTTTAGTGCATTCTACAGCCACATTTCCTACCACAGATGTCACAGATTTACGTCACTCCTATGATAGATTGACTTTGACACCTTTATCACCATTTACACCTTCTTAACTATGAGAATGTTATAATATTGGTTGCTTAAGACTATTATGGTAGCTGCGTTTATATCTCATTAAGTGGTCACTCCGTATCATGAGATAGATCCATTCACTCTAGCGCTGCATGTTTTTGTATATGATTGTCCACCACGAGGCGTTTTGGAGGCTTGCCTTTCATGCCAGCTGCTTTTATATTTCGCTCTAAAACTGTCCAGCGCTCGTTATACTCGCTTTTTTCTATCTATATGTGTATGTACCTGTGTATCTGTATCAGTTTAGGATTGGGTTTGTTTCACCTTGTTGTATGTATTTGTGTTAGCTTGGGGTTTGGTGCACTGCGTTTTATGTTTGTATTGTTAGTCTTTAATAAATTGTCCTTATTGTTTATTACATATCTGAAGCCTGCGTTTCCCTGCGTCAGTTCACATACCTCTGGTCATACCTGGGAGCCCACACCAAGGCCAATCCTGACCAGAAGTGGCTGCACAGGGAAGCCATCTTGGCTTGTTGCTGGGAAGGATGGATCTTGATGAGGTTGTGTATTTGTCGCTGCTGGTTTTTGATGACAGAGAATATGCTTATCAGACTCCGAGGGAGTATACCCAGGATCAACTGCTAGAATGTATACGGATCGCTCATGTTCTAGTAGATCAGGGCACAGAGTTCTCTGAGGTGCAACCTTTGATTCAGGTTTGTGTAGAGTTGGCTTCATCTGGTACCCCTGAAAGCAGGAATGAATTTTGCCGCCATTTAGTGCAGACCAGGTAGAGTCCCTGGTATGGTTATTAGAGGATGATGTGGATTGCTTCTTGGAGCAATATGCTGCATGTTCACCACAGGTATTAAGGGATTGTATAAACGCAGTGCAGTCTTTGACTAGACAGGCTTTGTGTAAGCGGAGCTTTGTTCAACCCATACTGCAGACATGGTCAGACTTGTTGCACCCAGCCTCAGTCAGCTTACAACGTCATTCCTCCGCTCAAGGCACTCTTCCTACATCCCCGACAGCACCCCCAGCGACGGCCCAGTATACTCTGCTAACTACCACATATCAGTCCTCTGCTCCCACTCGCTGCACCTATCCTTTCTTTAACCCTGTAAAGAAGTCCTCTGTAGCAACTGCTCCCTCCTCTGTTCCATCCTCCAGCTCTTCTCTGTCTTCAGCTGCTCCATCCGTTTACAAACCTGCGCTTACTTACAGTGCTCCGGTAACTAAAACCAGAAAAAAGCGAAAATTCTTCCCAACCAGTACCATCCTGCCAGTATCCAAACCGGTGAGCCTGCCGTCTGAGAACCTGCTTTCCGTGGTTCAGCCTGGTGCCTCGGCACCCGCACTTCAGCCTGATGCCTCTACCCAAGCCTGATGTCTGTACCCAGCCCGATGAACTGTTCCAGCCTGATGATCCTATCACGCCTGATGACCCAGTGCCCGCTGTCTTGCCTGGTGACTCGATGCCCGCTGTCGAGCCAGACGATCCAATGCCTGATGACCCGGTGCCCGATGTCGATCCAGACGATCCGGTACCCCGATGACCCAGTGCCCGCTGTCATGCCTGGTGACCCGATGCCCGCTGTCGAGCCAGACGATCCAACACCAGATGACCCGGTGCCCGCTGTCGATCCAGACGATCCGGTACCTGATGACGCGGTGCCCGCTGTCATCCTTGGTGACCCGATGCCCACTGTCGAGCCAGACGATCCAATGCCTGATGACCCAGTGCCCGCTGTCATGCCTGGTGACCCGATGCCCGCTGTCGAGCCAGACGATCCGGTAACCTGATGACCCGGTGCCCGCTGTCGTGCCAATTCACTCAGAGCCCACTGTCGTGCCTGGTGACTCGGTGCCCACCGCCTTGCCAGATGACGCGGTGCCCGCTGTCGAGCCAAAATGACCTGATTTTTGCCTGGTGACCCGATGCCCGCTGTCGAGCCAGACGTTCCAATGTCTGATCCAGTGCCCACGGTCATGCCAGTTGACTCGGAGCCCGCTGTCTTGCCTGGTGACTCGGTGCCCACTGCCTTGCCAGATGACGCGGTGCCCGCTGGCGTGCCAAATGACCTGATGCCTGGTGACCCATGGGGGTGCCCGCTGTCATACCTGGTGACCCGATGCCCCCGCTGTCGAGCCAGACATACCAATGCCTGATGACCCAGTGACCGCTGTCATGCCTGGTGACCCATATTATATAATTTCGATGCCCGCTGTCGAGCCAGACATACCAATGCCTGATGACCCAGTGCCCGCTGTCATGCCTGGTGACCCGATTGCCTGCTGTCGAGCCAGACGATCCAGCGCGCAGATGACCCGGTGCCTGCTGTCGAGCCAGACGATCCGGTACCTGATGACCCCGGTGCCCGCTGTCGTGCCAATTGACTCAGAGCCCACTGTCCGTGCCTGGTGACTACGGTGCCCACTGCCTTGCCAGATGACGCGGTGCCCGCTGTCGAGCCAAATGACCTGATGCCTGGTGACCCGATGCCCGCTGTCGAGCCAGAGGATCCAATGTCTGACCTAGTGCCCGCGTCGTCGTGCCAGTTGCCTCGGAACCCACTGTCGTGCCTGGTGACTCGGTGCCCACTGCCTTGCCAGATGACGCGCGGTGTCCGCTGGCGAGCCAAATGAACTGATGCCTGGTGACCCGATGCCCGTTGTCGTGCCTGATGACCTGGCGCCCGCCGCTCCGCCTGGGGGCCCGGTGCCCACCACTCCGCCTGGGGGCCTGGCTTTTTCTTTATTTTTTGTTTTTTTTTTTTTTATTTTTTTATTTTTTTTTTTTTTTGCATTTTTTTTTTTGTTGGGCTCCGCCTGGGGGCCCGGCGCCCCGGCTCTCCCCGCCTGGGGCCCGGCTCTCCGCCTGGGGGCTCGGTGCCTCTGCCGCCCCTCCTGGGGCCCGGTGCCCGCCGCTCCGCCTGAGGGGTCCGGCGCCCGCCGCGCCGCCTGACGGGGCCCGGCGCCCGCCGCTCCACCTGGGGGCCCGGCCCCGCCGCCTTCCGCCTGGGGGTCCGATGCCTGTCGCTCCGCCTGGGGTGCCCGATGCCTGTCCGCCCCACCTGGGTGCCCGGTGCCCGCCGCCCCCCGCCTGAGGTCCCGGCGCCCGCCGCCCCGCCTGAGGTCCCGCGCCCCGCCGCCCCGCCTGGGGGCCCGCCGCTTGCCTGGGGGCCCGCCGCCCCGCCTGGGGGCCCGATGCCTGCGCCGCCCGCCTGGGGGCCCGATGCCTGTCGCTCCGCCTGGGGGGCCCGATGCCTATCGCCCCTCCCAGGAAGCCCGCCGCTCCGCCTGGCGGCCCGGCGCCCGCCGCTCCACCCTGGGGGGGCCCGATGCCTGTCGCTCGCGCCCGGGGCCCGGTTGCCTGCCCCCACCCGGTGGCCCGGTGCCTGTTTGCTCCACCCGGTGTTGCTATGCTTCTCCCCTGGTGGCTGCCTGCATCTCTCCGCCTGGTGGCTCGGCGCCCTGCTGCCCGCCTGGTGGCTCGGCGCCTGCCCTGCAGTCCGCCTGGTGATCCGGTGTCCAGCCCGATGTGCCCTGCCCGGAGTCCAGCCCGATGTGCCTCTGCCCGGAGTCCAAGCCCGATTGAGCCTCTGCCCCGGAGTCCAGCCCGATGTTGCCGTCTGCCCGGAGTCCCAGCCGGGTGTGCCTCGCGCCTGTCCCCTCTGCCCGGAGTCCCTGCCCCGATGTGCCGCTGCCCGTGTCCAGCCCGATGTGCCAGTCTCTTTGATATCCCGCCAGTTACCAGACCCGGGGAGGTGGAAAATTTTTGCCGTGGCTAGGACAGTTTGGAGCGTCCTGAGGAGCCACTCCTTGAGGGGGTGGTACTGTCAGGAATGGACTTGCGCCAGTAATGGGCAGGGACTTCACCTGCCTTGTGGGCTGCAGTACCAGAAGATGCCTGTCGCTCCGACCCCGGGGGGCAATCCCCGGTGCCTGTCGCCCCTCCCGGGTCCCGGTGCCCCCGGACCCGCCCCCCGTGGCTCCCCGCGGGTGCCTAGCTGCTCTGCCCGGTGGCCCGGTGCCTGCTGCTCCACCTGGTGGCCCGGCGCCTGCTGCTCCCCGCTCTGTCCTGTGATTCCGGTGTCCAGCCCGATGTTGTGCCGAAGCTGCCCAGAGCAAGTCAGCCCCGATGTCCTTTGCCCGGAGTCAGCCCGATGGGCCGTTCCCGGAGTCCCAGCCCGAGCCCCACTGTTCTACGCTGAGTCTAGCCGATGCTGCCGCGCGCACGGAGTCCAGCCCGATGTGCCGCTGCCCGGAGTCCAGCCCGATGTGCCGCTGCCCGGAGTCCTAAGGCAACGATGTCCCCGCCCCAGGACCATCGCCCGATGTGCCTGCGCCCGCGTATGTCCAGCCCGATGTCGGGGGGCGCCGCTGCGACCCGGAGTCCAGCCGGCGATGTGGGCCAGTCCTTTGATATTGCGGGCCCCGCCAGTTACCGTGTTGAGCCAGGGGGGCGATGGGTATAAAATTTTGCCCGGCTAGGACAGTTTGGAGCGCCCTGAGGCCGCTCCTTGAGCCTGGGGGGTAACGGCAGGAATGGACTTGCCAGTAATGTGGGACTCACCTGCCTGTGGGCTGCAGTACCTGAGGCGCCAGGGCGATTTGCACTCAGCAATCAGAGAACTCAACCCGCAGCTCACCCAAACACCAAGAAGCTGATAATGCAGTGTAGTTTAAGGGATGGCCAGACCTGGCAGGTCTGGTGCCTTGGTGGTGGGTGTTTTTCCATGGCCCGTATCTTGTAACGCGTGCAGGTTCCCGTTCCTGCTCCTGCCTCCTGCCTGACTATGTTGCCAAGTACCCAATCTGATCCTGACCTCTGCTGCCCTTCTTTCCCTGTTTTGATCCCTAAGGGGACCTTGTGACCCCTGACCATTCTATCCGCACGAGGCGGCCTCCATGTACCTAACCTGAACGGGCCGATAGTTAACGACCAGAGCCATCAAAGTAACACTGATTACGTTTTGGCTCCTATAGAGCGTAGATGAACCTGTTATCTGTATCAGTTTAGGTGCACTAGATGGGTTTGTTTCACCTTGATGTAGGATTGGTGTTAGCTGTGCCCCGGTTTTGGTGGAACTATGGCGTTTAATGTTTGACCATATTTTAGTATGGCCAGCCTTTAAATAAATTGGTCTTAGTTGTGTTATTACATATCTGATGGCCTGCGTTTCCCTGCGCCTCAGTTCACCATAACCCCTCTGTGATAAAACCGGGAGCCCTGATCAAATACTAACCACATGGCAGTTGCTTACCAAACTACCTCAGATGATCCCATTGCAGGTAGGGTGTTCCCATCAAGGGCTAGAATCTGTTGCTTTTTAGCTGAATTGGTTTTAGATGTAATTGAGAATTAGAATTTTACAAGTGATAGTTTTTCAATGGAAACATTTCATCCTGATAAGTTATTTTTTTGGATGGTAAACCATGGCGTAAGATACTTAACCCACAAAAACCAAGACGCAAGCATCTCCATATGGATACCATTATTCTTGACACCTGTTTTCCAGAAAACGGTATGAGCGCTCTTTTTTTGCGCTGGAGCAGAAAAGATGAGCAATTTTAACAGGTACAGTATGTACACAATAAGCAAAGCGCAAGTAATATGTTGCTAAATCGGTCCAGGAACAGAAAATTCTAACACTACCTCGCAACAATGCTTAGCTAACAGTTAGAACCATCACTCTTTCCATCTTTCCTTCATCCAATAACTCCTTTTTTTCGTCTCAAACCTTCTTTCCACCTCCTCCACCCCTCTTTCCCTCATCCTCCTCCTTTCTGGCTCTCACCTTTCCTCCGGCCTCCATCCGCTTTCACATCCTCCTCCTTTCTTCTCCCGTCCCCGCCTCCCCCCTTCTTCTTTACCGCTCTTCCTCCGGCCTCCTCCCAACCTACCCTTTCCCCTCCTCCCTCCCTCCACCGAGATACCCACCTCCTTTCCTCCTCCTCCTAGGACGAATCCTCCAATTCTACGGGGTGGTTTCCTCTTCCTCCACTCACCTCCTACCTCCGCCTTCTTCTTTCCTCTTCCGTCCTCCTTCGTTCCCTTCTGTTCCCTTCCCATTCTTTTTCCTCCGCCTCCTTCAGTCTTCGCCTTCTTCTCACACCAGAATGACCCCTTCTTCTCCACTTACCTGCCACCCTTCTTCTTCCCACGCCTTCTTGTCTCTCTTCCTTCTTCCCCTTTTCCTCCTCCTCAATTCTTCTTAATCCCTTCTTCTTCTTTGCTCCCTCCTCCTGCTTCTTCGCCTTCTTTCCTTTCCCACCCCACCTCCTTCTTCTTCGCCTTCTTCTTCGCTCCCCCTTCATCGCCCTCTTCTCTTTCCTCCTCCTCCATCATCATCATAATTCAGCAAGCCACAATGCTTATTTAGAAAGGATTACATATTTGGTACTAAATGGTGGGTACGCTCTGTTTTCAAAATAAAAAATATTTTTTTCAACCTCTATAATTACCCCCCTATAACAGTGAAATATGATATCATGTAAATATTAATCCACAAACAGAAGGAATAAAATCAATTAACTTACAGGCTAATAAATTCTTTATAAATCACATAAAATTCTAGTGCACCTAAATAATACAAGTTTACATAAAATTAAATGCTGGCGCACTCACCAATAATTTATCCGTAAGTAAATAACCACCGTGTGTTCGATCTGATGTTGTTTCAGCAATAATCAGATAATCACAGGGGAAAAAAAAGGAAAAAACTAACTATCAACAAATCATA